CGGTGTAAAATAAAAGCTGGTATGAAGCGTATAAATATTGCCGGCTTATGCAGAAAATAGGTATGGGGGAGATCGCATACCTTGATAAGGAACATGGATGCTGTAAACTAAATATGTAAAGTGGAGAAGGCATTAACAAAATAACGTATGCATATTTACACAAGTATGCAAAGCAAACTACCAGGTTCAAAGACTTAAATAGTAGAAAAATATTAAAATTAATTGCACCGCTCGCTTCAAACGAGTTTCAACTTAATTACTGCTTGTCCTTTTCTATTGAGAACTGTGATACGATCGTTAATGAGTATGTCAATGTTTTGTTGATCTTGTAAGATTATTTCATTGCCAATTTGTCTATGAATCAGTATGATCGTTTCTTTTTAATTTTATTTCATCTTTAAGTCCCATGCAATTATCTTAGCCGGTTCCGATTATAGATGTTGCTTAAATGCCAATTATTTCTCATTTGCCTTACTCTTTCATTTGCAATCAATGCTTCACTGTAATTTTAAATTACTTTATTAACTCTGTTTTTATCTTTGATTTTTAATCCTTGGAATAAACATTTAATTTTACGTTCATAAATACGGCTTGCCTGTAAGAATAAATTCGAAGAAGGAATTTGATTTTCTCTTGCAAGTTCTACACATTCCTTTAAATTTATATTGACGGTAGATATTATATGGGATCTGAGAGTAGCTAACTTAAATATATTTTGTTCTAGTAGTATAAAGTAAGATGTTAAAAGCATTGTGTAAAGGAATTGAAATGTTAACATGCCTGCGCAGGTTTAAACAAAAGGAGACAAGAGGTATATTCATTCACGTGATTTCTGAACAACATTGTACTTATTTATAAACTACACACTACAAGTTTATGAGAAAAATGTGTACTTCGAGGAGTCTTTAAAATCCTTATTACGTTAAAGATCAATGACGTTAGTGAAGTTTGATGAGTAATGAATAATGGTGCGTGCAAGGCCGTCATCGAGTTTATAAACGACAGGATAAATATTTGTAGATAATGCCCTCAATTTTCATATCTAATTTGACCGCATTATTTAGCCATTTTACAGCGCCACTTGGTCCATAATTCGCTATTATGGGTACGTGCTTAACTGCTAAGGAGATATGCGGTACGTGTTACTCTTTAGTCAGGAATTTCTTCGCTATCAACATTATTACGTATGTTTATGTATATGTGTATTTATAAAGAAAGTTTATTACGGTTTTCTTCAGTGTTTGGATAGATATGTTTTTTAATCGCGTGTTATTTTCGGATATCTTTCGATAAGGCTTTTGATTGGTACTTCTATGAATTTTCTTATTAACCAAAACACTTTATTTTATAAATTGGAGAATTTGTTATTTGTTGTTTTTGTTTTTCTTATTTGTTGGACTTATTATAAGAGCTTTATGCTTGCTTAAAAGAACGCTATTGTTGGTAAACCGATAGCTTAGATGGTTTAAAAAAGTTAGTAAAGGTAGCCATCTAAATATGTTTTTTATATTAAAGAGATCGAATGAAATAATCTTTGTATAGATTATTTACATTGAGTTAATTAGCTTACATCGATTTGGGTAAATACATGATCGTATAGATACAAATTTTTGTTTTGATAAAATAAAGACATGGCAAGTTTTTTTTTATCATTTAGTTTGATTACCTAAACCGATTGATCTTACTCATACATACCACAAGTAATACCCAAACAACGAAAAAAAAACTTGATATCTTACAAACTTATGAGAAAGTAAAATAATGTAAGAGTTTCGAAATGTATCTACAGCTATGGGCTACCAAGCTACGCTCTTTTTTAAACCTCCTACTGAAATATGTAGGTAATTCTAATGAATGTTAAATTGTAATTGAAGATAATCTTTATAATGATTAACGCGGTAATGTGAAATGAAATACAATTAAATAAATAGTTTTAATTATCAATTAACATTGCTAAGAATTTATGCGATGGCGTCTAGTCTATGGGTAGGCTATCGACGGATCTACACGCGTAAAACACCGTAGCTACCATAAACGAGTTGGGAGATATTTGCATTTTGTATTGAATATTGCAAATGGACAGTGTAGGGCTACTGTGTAGTAAGATTTTTGATTTATTTCACTACAGAAGAACGGCTTATTCATCCTATTCTGTCACCTTTTTTTGTGAGGGTAAGAGAGAGAAGGAGAGAAAGTGTCAGACTTTTACTGACTAACCTCCCCCCCTCCGTTCCCTGTCTTGCTCTAGGCCGAGGCCGCGGTGCCTCATTGCGCTCGTCCCGACTGAACATCAGCCCTATAAGACCCTATGTGTGGTGGTCTATTGGCTCTTGCATTGATCAAATAGGTCCTCTAAAAACTCTATTCAAATAGCTTCTACTGACTCAAACATAAACACGTGTTACAAGGAAAATATAATTATTAAATAAATACTAATTCTGCTTAAATACAAATAAAAACATTTCTGTTTTTGTATTAACAAGAATTTTAATTACCACATTACCACATTTTACCCTACATACTCAATGTAAAAAAGAATTCACGAAAGTGACCATATACTGTTGCCATAGCAACCCTGCACAACACGACAGAATAGTAAATGTGACGCATAGCTGCGCCGACGCATGTAGCCAGCAACATATGAGAATAGCACCCCACTGAACAGCACTTTAATAAACATCCAATTTAGTCCCAACATGTTTAAATTAAATTAAAATATCTAAACTGTAATCAGTTTAAGTAATGACATAAGTTACGCGCACAGAAAATGGTTATTTAAATAGCGTATAATTTAAAAAAAGGCTCAAGCCTATTTATTTCTTGTGATAGTATCTAATGAAATGAGCAGTAATGGAACGTATTTGAATCTTTTTGCATAATTTGTTCTGGATGCGTATTTATAAATTAACTCAAGACAAATATACGAGTCTGTGTAACATCGCCTAGCAAATACTTTTAATGAGCACCAAGAATTTATTTGCTAGATTATACATGTGTTTTGCAGTCGACAACATAAATGGCAGTGCAGTTAAAATAAAATGCAATTGCAATCGCCACTGTTCGATGCTTCAATAATTGTATATTAAAACCATTAATACCACGAACCACGAAGTGAAATTGTGAAAATGTTATAGACTTTTTCTCAATACTTACTATCTTCGTACTATTTATAAAAATGGCGATGATTTCATATAAACATATCGGCCAAGATTGCTAGCAATCTTCCAAAAAAATCTTTAAAAGAAAATGGCGTTCACATGTATTGTCTCGTGAAAAAACACACAATTACCAAATATGGTAATAGTCATGAAAATTCGGAGAATTTTATCGTAAGCCTCGTTAATCTTATCACAATAAACATTGATGATAAGTAACGTCTAAATTCGGGTATAATAATAAATAATCATTGTAATTCATACATGGGTATGAATGTATGAAGCACACGATACGTACTTACATTCATGTAATTTTCATAATAATACTGATTATTAATTGTATTCGAAGTTTCGTGAATCGGTATTTTTATAGTACTGAAAGATCATATAACATTTCAAAGTTTTTAATTAGAATAAAAATTTTTTTTTTCGCCTGTTACTTTTGGTAAATTGTACAAAACAGCTAAAAGCACAGGACTCTTTGGAAATGAACACTGAAAAAAACATAAAACCTAACAAGCTCCGATCAAAAGGAGATCCGAACACTTTACTTCGATGGGTGGTCTCGAAAAAAAAACTAAGAAAATGGCGGAAAAGTTCTACGGTCTTTATAAATAATGCATAAGAATGCGTGAGCGTCGTGCGAAAATGTACATCTTCGTGCGTCTGCGCAGACCGTTATCGGGTGTTCGCGGGTCGTCAGATATCGCGCGTTTTCCATCTTATAGCGCAGTCATTATTGCCTTTTTACCTTTTATAGCACCTTACAGATAGGTAACCATAATGTAGTGTTGGAACTTTTCGACACTCACCATAAACCTTGTTAGAAGCCATTTATAAACTGGATTTTAGCTGCTTCTTTAGGCGCAATTTACAGTTGTGTTTTATTTGTTATGATTGTAATTTGTAAAAATTAGCGATTTTTAAAAGACAAATTATATTTTTTGCTTCAAAACTTAGTCATGGGAATATTCTTTGACATTTTTTAACCATTTCGAAGATACCTTCTCAAGAAATGTATTAAAAATTCAAAACAACGCTGTTATTTTATCTGTATGTGAGATTACACGGTAGCAAAGCAATATCTATGCAACTGCTAATCAATTCAATACGACTCACGAAGATGCATTTGCGTAAATAAACGATACGTAAGCATTCCATTCATAACACGACTTATTTAGTGCTCCGCCATAGAATAATCTAAGGATTCACATAAAAACATATATCTACAAGTCACGACTGCATGGACGTGCATCCGAACGTACGCGCAACGCCATCTATTTTTCGTGGTGTGACGTTAAAACTCTTGCGCATTTCGATTTCAAATATCGAATTCAAGATGGTGGCCGTAACAGCCGCAACATTCTATAGGCTAGACATGAATCAACCTGTTCAATAATTCATAGGGAATAACTAAAGCACCGTGGTACTTCATAAGCCCCCCGCGTAGTACATTTTTCACCCGACATACTGAATAATCCAGAGGATAATAAATAAGAGTTAGCCTGTTGTAACCGGTACAAACAATTCATTGTGCTAAAATGAATTATTACATTGTTAGTACGGGCCCACTATTTCGCTACTCAGTATGCTAATCTTAATATAGGTAAATTTCTCAGACGAAAACTTCGAAAGACTAGCTACAAATGGGACTGGTTTTCAAGATGTGGTCAATGTCTAAAAATACTTTCTTATTAGTATGCATAACAGTGCTGCTAGCTTCCTAAATCACGAAGCTTAGTAAACACCTGTACATGGTCTAACTATTAATGGTCAATGTGGTAGAAATATATATGAAGGATACCTCAAATAAAATGTCTCAAATGAACAGAAGGTGTTACTTACGATTGACATGATTGATGTAATATCGTCCGATCTGTGGATCGTAAGCCTCCTCCCATCCAAGAGGCAACTCATTGCCAATGCAGTCCGCGAATGTCTGTGGCTTAGTATATCTGGAACAATAAACGTTTTTTGTTGAGTCTAGGAAACACTTGTTTGATCTTAGAATTGAAGGCAGTTGGGACTTCGTTGTCATGAGTTATTTAAACGACAGAATATACTCGACAGCTAGATAAGTTATAAGTAATTTATATTTCGCAATATTTTAAGGATCTACCCTTCTGTCAAATTACTATTCTAGAAAAAGAAAACTGTGTCGTACGCGTACAAAAAACACAACCTCAAGCAAATACAAACAAAAAAGTTTCTCGTAGAAGCATCAACATCAACCCAACGTTCTTCCCACGAACAAGGGCGAGCCTATTACTGCGCTTCCATAACTATCATTAAGGTAAAATAATAATAAGCTCCAGTTATTATTTCGAATCTTTCGACTGAATAATTTCACTGGCCATTTGGTAACGTGGACTGGTTCGAATGATTCCGTATTTACACTGTGTGTAAACATGAAACTGACCTCCTTTAAATCAACCAATTTTGTTTTAGACGTCTCACAAAAGTTCAGCATCGATATCTTGTGTCTTTAAGAGCTACCAGTTCGAAAATAGATTAATCACCAGACCGTTCAAATCGTTTAGCCTTCAATCAATTTAAAAGTTACGGGATCAAGAGGACGCGGTCAATATCATTGGATTTATACTATTCGAAATAGCACCTCGTTGGTCAATCACATCGTTTAAAATCGAGGCAATTAGGTTACGAATTGGTCCATTATATAGAACATTGAAGAAAATGGCGTCAGTATTACAAGCTAAAACTTATTTTACATTAAAGATTTCTGATTCAAAATGTAATGTTACAAGCTCGATGGAATTATAGATAAAACATAGTATCGAACAAAAAACAGGTGCAAGTTTCTAGATTCAAGTTGTGCCTAGGCGTGCAGATAATACAGGCAGGTTGTGGCATGAGAATAATTAATGATGGGCGATGCGGGTGCCCGGGAGCTGGCGCGCGCAGGGCGTGGTGCGCTGGCGCCGGCGACCTGCTCCACTGCTGCTACAATTTCGATCATGATTCACGTACAACCAGTTCACCAACAAAAAGCGGACACACTCGCATTTCCGATGGTGACGAAATCAACCGAACGCCGTGTCTCATACGCATCCCACTTAACGGTTTTCGTGACTTTTAATATGGCGTTTATACGGTAGTCGGTTATTAAATAAGATTCTTCGGTTAATTGGCCACGTTTATGTCCAGTCCGGTGTACGTGCAACTTTTGAAATCGACGTTTTCGATGTTCGCGTGATTCTGTTTTACCGTTTGCTGGTTGTTTTACAGTAAGCAATCAAGTAAAGGCTGTTTAATAAGTGCGTATAACTTCGTGTAAGGTTATATTCACATGCAATTACACTAAACACCTTACGGCTTAATTTAACTGCCATTAAAATGCATAGAATTGTGTATATTTTTAACAATCGTAGTGATAATAGCGTTTATTGCATTTAAAATTTACACCTAGCAGCTATCAAACCGTAAGAATGCTTGATGTACCTATACATGTTTTATTTTGTTGTAACAAATTATTGAGACAAAGTCAAGGGGGGTAAGCCTTCAATGGGAATTCGTTACTCCTTCCGCACAGCTACCGAATGCGGCGTCCATTTCAAAACACGATCACTCTTATCGAGGTGAGGGGATAGAGGGCGCGTGCGTGTGCGCATCCAATGCATCGCTGTGGGAGCAAGAAGGAGATACAAAAGTAGTAAAAGTGAGCGAGACAAATAGAGAAACAATGTTGCTGCGTTATGGGAGAACGGCAAAACCAGTCCTGTCAGCGGGACGTCAAGACGAGTCGAGTTCTCGGAAACGGTGACCCGTGTCACGGAATCCCTAGCCGCACACACAGCCACACTTTCACACACACGGACGCGCCCACGTAAACGAAACACCGACTACAATCAAATGCCAGTGACAGAATTATTAGTGTTATATTATTTCATTAACAATATTGTAAGTGCTACAACTACATATCTGGTTTTGTTTCAAAAAATTCGCTACAATACATACATATGATAATAAAAGTTGGTAATCAAACAAATATTTTTACAGCATAAGGTCGCATTCTTTAGATAGTGTGTATACGAAAAAAGATATCAGTGATAATGAACATATTGTTGCGTTTACTTTGTTATACGAATGAAACTGTTAAAGCAATCTTTAATGATAACATTTTAACACTTCTTATCTTAAAAAGTGGAATTCGAAAAAATGTCGGAAGCTCTAGTCTGGATATTAAAACCATTTTTAAAACGTAGATAATCTCAACAAGTCATGTTTGGTAAAGCTTTATTTAAGCACAACGCCATCTATCGCCTCGTATAAGGAATTTGCTACCGGTCTTGCGCGGGAGTTTGAACAGAAGTGAGCTTGACCGATATTTTAGGGTTACATATCTAACATTTAGTTCAAAGGATACTAAACGAAGATAGTTATTATAATTTCTTTATAATGAATTCCCAGTCGAGCTCATTATTTTTAGTATAATAAGTTCATAATTGACACAGACACTTATATATTGCCGTTTTCGTATAGGTCTCGAAAAACAACACAAAACTGCTATGAATAAAAGAAAACATTGCAGTATTTTTTAAAACAACGTACGACGCACAATTATATAATTTGTTCTACTTTACTTTATTCTCTGTACAAGTTTTTACATATAATATAATACAGTTCGCAACAGAATTGAGTTCACACATGTATCGCGTAATCGATGCGAATAAATCCGCGAGCTATGCTGTGCGATATGCCAGTGCATCACAGTCTCATTGGAAAATAGCGCGGGAGAAGGCCAATGTACCGCCGTTCAGCAGCCACAAATAGAAACACGAAGGTTGCTGCCCGCTTTGGACTATTTAGTTACATGCCCCTGCAGATTTTAACTCCTTTGCAGGTGTAAAAACCTTCAATCCTATTCGTTTATTTAAAAACAGAAGTGATTTCAAAACGATATATCAGCCAAATCTCATTAACGTCTCCCAACACGCCAAAGAATCAACAGGCTCACCGTAAATCTAAATGATTAGACTATTAGTCATGTGTTATCCAAGTATCATTTCGAAAGTCCAATGACCAAATCCTGGATTACGACAAACTTGGAGCACGTCTGGTGGGAGGCGGTGCCATGCTGTCTCACACATATCGACCGACCGACAGACGAACACGCACACCTACTAATGCTCTATAAATATCACCAGGGAAATATTTTAATCCGGATGGCCCGTTTAATGCACATTCCTTGGGCTTCGGAACAATCTCGATTTTTTTATACCTTTACTCCAAGAGGGCATTGCCCCACTTAGATTTTAGTCCGTAAGATAATCTGTCATGTGAAACTGTGTCAGTAGACATGGCTAAGGATAATAAGCTAATAAAGTATAAGGTGAATAACCTGTTCCTTACAAAGTTAATAAGTAAATTCCGACGACATGATGTCAGATATCCTATGTATTTAAATAAGTCTTCATGTGTGTTGTTGAAATATACTCATGGACAGGAAGATTACAAACCTTCTGATGACCGAAAAAGGAATCGTGTTAGGGGTCAACGTGATTTCCTCTCGCATTCCGTTCAGCTGACACATTCGTACAACGTTATAATCGAATTAAACACAACTTGCAATGGATTCGGCGAAGCATGCCGACCGGATGATCCAATGCGTGAATATAAAATTTGTATCTGAACCGAACCATGCATTAAAGTAACCGCACATATAAACATTGTTCACGTCTTACGTCACGACCAATCACCGAATTTATCCACGAAATCGCCGCAGCAATCGTTCGAAAGTGGTAATTATGTATTGATTGTAAACGCAGCAGGCTAATGTGACGATATGACGTCACGCGTTATTTGATCATTGACAAACGACATTCCAACGCCTAGTGTGAACTGTGTTGTTGAAACGCACGTCACGTCACTCCCACCAAGGTCTCATGCTCGTCTTGAGACTTGAGAACACATTACATGCCTCGATCTGAATAATAAAGATCTTTTGACACCGACTGCTCTTAGATCTTGGGAATCATTCATTGCCTAAATGTTTCGTTGACTAGGGTTTACTAATACCAATGGGCTAGGATACCATTGCGAAAATTTTAATCAGTCAAAATAAACAACTTTATTTATACAATTCAATGTAGCATGCTGTCTGTAGAAGTGACGGACGGACGGACAGCGGATTGCATAAACACTGAATATATAGGGTTTCCGTTTGAATCACGCCGCATACCAGTCGCCTTCGTCACGCCGGCAGGCGGCGCGTGCGACACAATATCATGAGTATCACGACTCCGCTCACAAACATTCGACAATACGATACTAGTCTAAATAATGTCTATACAGAATGACGAATTGTCGGCCGCCCCGCTTATAATATCGCCGAGACTGAGGAATTTCTAATTGATATTGCATTGTGGTCACTCCCATTCTGCTGCTTGTTTGAGTAATAAGTACCTACAATATCAGATGAAGGAGATTAAATGCTATAAATCTCAGCAAGTGGGACACGACGCTGTAAAAATCGTCGTAGTAAATCAGCTAGTACTCCAATTCGCAGGAACAAAAATTTTATGATCGTCATAATTTATTGTTGTATTTTTTGTTTTTAACGATGCATGCTAATTAATTAAACGAGTCTTTTAAAAACCATACTCATTCACTTGATTGACTGACCGGTTCTGAGATCGACATAGGTACATCCCTATCTACATAAACAAGAAGGGTAAGTCTAATATTGGGAAAACGCACACATACCAATTTTAACGATATCTGTAGCATTGAAATCTTCTCATTATGCAAATATGCAATAGTTACAGAATGTAGAAAAGCAATCACAAGCAGTTACTCGTTGCAACTTCGAATACCGCCCTCGAAGTATGGCAGAAATGTTGCTAATGGCTTGTAACGATGTTTGCCGGCAACTTCACGACTGCACAAATGATACTTTCCCAGCGGTAGAAAGTCAAACATTAGGTAGGAATGGCAC